AAAATTGAACTTTAGAGGAAGTGATTACACAATTTACACAAAAATGATTGAGTTTTGAAACTTTTTAGAAACAAAGTATAAATATTTGCTTTACAGTCCTACTGTCAGAAACATAGTAGAACGAACACAAAAGATAAAGTTCAAGGGGCAGGAGGCAGTATAGGAAGTGGAGCGGAGAAAGCAGGATCAGACTCTGAAGATGCAGAATCCAGAAGGCGCAAGAGAAAAGACATGACTTCCGAAGAAAAGAATCAAGCACGAGCTGCAAAGTATGTATTTTGATTATTCTATTGTCTTTAATGTTTCATACTATTTGATATGTAATTTTCTTATACATTAAAACTGAAGTGCTTTTCCTTCATTGAAACACGTTTTTCAATACAATAAAATGATTTTCACTAACAAGATGAAATATTTTACATTAGATTGCAAGAAATAGAAGCAGAATTTGACAAGCATGTGAGCTTGAAGGACATTACTTCTCAACAGTTGGATGTGGATCCTGAAGGCATTATCTACATTTATAATTACTGGAAACTTAAAAGAAGAGTAAGTGACATTGAAAACTTGATAAGTTGATTAAATATGACAATTAAGTGCAATAAACATATAAAAATTAATTTTAAAATTTATGTTTCATAGTTTATAACATTGATGAACTAATCTTTACATAAACTTAAGATTATTTTTCTTTTAATTCTGGTTAAAGTAAATACATTTTCATTAATTATTATTCTGATTTTTTAGGCTGGCCATAACAAACCACTGTTAGCACCACGCTGCGGAGAGCTTTCCGGAAGTGGATCTCGCAATCAGGGTCAAGCAGCAGATCTCGAGAAAATGAGGACATTCGTTCAATTACGACAGGATCTGGAAAGAGTTAGAAATCTTTGTTATATGGTGGGCAGAAGAGAAAAGCTTTGTCGATCTTTTCTAAGATTACGAGAACAGACGTTCCATAAGCAAGCATTGGTAATGTCTGGTCCACCATTATCACCAGCTGCAGCGGCTGCAGTAATGGAAGCCAATCACGGACCATCAATTTATGACCGACTTTATTCTCACCCCGATTCTGAGGATCATACTCACGACTTTGACACAATTGTTGCCAGAATCGCTGGAATAGAATCACCGACCAGTGATGAAAAGAAAACGCAACAACAACAACAGCAACAATCACAACAGCAGCAAGACTTCAATGGTGCCTCCAGTAAAAAGTTATACTTTAACGGCTCCGTCCGAAGAAAGAACCTTTATGGTAGTGATCTGTCGTCTGTTAGTAGCAGTGAGACAGATGCGACGAAAGTAAAGACAACGGAAAAGAAAAATCTGAAGTTGGAAAGTGAATCGAGTACGGAAGACGAAACGAATGTTTCAACGAAAGCAAAGCTGTCGCGTAGGAAGACAAAGAAGGGTGGTCTACATACAGATAAGTTGCTCAAAGAGAACAGCGAGAATGAGAAGCTTGTCAATAGTAGGTCGCATACGCTTCAGCACATGGAGAAGGAATTAGGAAGCGCTTCTGGCAGTGAAAGTGACGAGCTATTACCTTTAAGTGCTGTAACGACGAAGCATCTTACAGCTTCAGCTATATATTCAGATACCGATTCAGACTCTCAAGAACATACGTCTCATTCGGCGGTTCTAATCACTAAAGCAGCAGTTAAAGAATTTTCTGCAGCGAATTTATCGAAGAATTCACAGAAAAACTTTAATAAGGACTCCAGACATACAGAAACAACGTATCATAATGCTGGGTCGAAGAACAAAGAGAACCAGAGTAAAGTCAGTACCAAGAAGAAAGAGTATATACCTTCAGCGTTGATAGTACCTCAAAGACAAGCGGCAAAGAAAGCCTCAGAAATTATGCAGCGTACGCAACAGAGTAAGAAAGACAACTCGGTGCCTGAGATTCCATCAGAAACAGTAAAGTCTCCTGTAGAGGAGGTACCTAAGTGTTCCTCTTCTAAACCACAAAAAGAAAAGAGTCCTAGCAAGAAGCAGAAAGAAAATAAACCTTCAAAGGAGATTAAGAATAATGACGTTTACGATTTTGATAAAGAATTTGGTGATGGAACGGAAATTTTGGCGTACGTGCCACAGAGGCAAGCCGCAAAGAAGGCTGCTGAACACATAAAAAGCGGTTTGGGTAGTAAGCCTACGCAACAACAGATCGAACAAGAAACTCTTGACGGAAGGAAAAAGGAATCTCCCGAAACTGGTAAACGAAAGGAAGCTAGAAAAGATGATACTTCTTCATCTAGGAAAGAAGAATTATCTTCAAGGAAGGAAGAAATGTCCTCCTCGTCGTCATCTTCATCATCTTCTTCCTCTTCTTCATCGTCATCATCTTCGTCCTCCTCTTCGTCGTCGTCTTCTTCATCCAGGAAAGAAGAAGCTTCTAGAAAAGAAGAACTGTCCTCGAAGAAAGAAGAATCTGCTTCGAGGAAGGAAGAAATGCTTTCGAAGGATAATCGGTCTAGAAGACCAAGGAAACCTAGTGAGAGGAAGTCTGTACTCTCTAGTAACAGCGACAGTAGCAGTAGTAGTAACAGTTGCAGCAGTTCCACAGAAAGTAGTAGTGATTCTGAGAGTCCTAGTCGTAGGAGGCTCTCGAACGATCTCAAGGATGCTTCCTCTTCCACTACTTCCTCTGAAAGCGACGCTGGGAATAGGACGAAGAGTAAATTGACACCAACGCCAACAAGTACAACGAGCAGAAAACAACAATCTACAAAAGCATCTCCAGAACGTGAAACAGAAAGGAAACCAGTTGCAGGGCGGAAACTCAAGAAGCTGCCCGAGAAGAAGCTTAAAACTTCCGACGGGCGGCGGGGACCAGAGTTTCAGCCGCCTACTGAGAGAGAGGAACCTCGTAGAACCTCCAAAGAGCAACAACAAGAACAACAGTTACAACAACAACAGCAACAACAGGAGGCAAAGAAGCAGGATCAGAGAGACAGCAAGAAACAACAACCAACCACGGGAACGGAGATTAATGAGAATCTGCTCATTGGGTCTGGAGATCATGATGGGCCAAGAAGTGTTTCTGGGTCCAGACCTACCAAGAAGTCGGGTCAGGCTGCTAAGCAGCAGTCCCAGCCTAGAAAAGAAGACAGCAAGGCTAAACCCGAAGGCAGGAAGCGAAAACCAAACGAACCTGCCGCGAAGGATGAGAAGAAAGAAACGATCAAAAAACCGGAGAAACGGGTGAGCGAGAAACAAGTCAAAGAAACTGATAAGAAAGATGAAGAAGAGAGTAGTAGAAAGGACGAAGCGAAGGTTGTGGAACAAGAAAAGGTTAACGAAAGTACAGAAAGTTCCTTTAAGAACGATGACAAGAAAGTTAAAAAGCTTGGAGGTAGCAAAGAGGCGGTGCACACATTGGAGGAAGAGATGAAGCAACGAAGAGCTGAGAGAGACAGCCCTAAGAAATCGCTTAGAGGTTTAGACAAATTGTTGGAAAAACGCGAACATCTTGATAAGATCTCGAAGAGCAAGAATTCAGAGGTGAAAATCGAGAAGCCTGTGGAGGATGAGAAAGAGGAGAAAGATATTATAGAAGAGCCTCCACAGATAAAGGAAAGTATTAAGAATGAAGATCGTAAGAACCACATCACTGAAACTGAGACGATCATTGAGAAAACGAAACCAGAAGAACTACCGGAAGAAGAACCTATTAAGAAGGACATCATAGAGGTTCCCCTACCCGAAAGGACGTCAGCTGGTAAGAAGAAATCGGAAAGAATTTCGGAGAACTTTAATGAACCACCGCCTGCGGAAATTGTCGTTCCTGTGGAAGAAAATCTTCAGAAAGAGGCACCGGAAGAGGATACCGTCAAGATCGTTTCGGAAAAAGTCGAGACTATAGAGAAGGATCATCAGAAGAGACGGAAGTCCGGGAATCGGTCGATATTCTCACCGCAACATGGCAAAGATCCGAGCGTCTCGGAATTGTTCGACTTCGATCAAGACATGTTGACTGAGGAGATGGTGAACGAGGACGGTTTCGGTATATCCAGAGATCCGGAAGAACGATCGGCGCCATTAAGTTTCTCCTTCAACAACGAGTTGTGGTTCAAAGAGGACTCGAAGGAAGATAGCGCTAGGGAGACTCTCCATCTTGTAGAGAAGCTGCGTATGGAGCTCTCGAAGAAGTCAAATTCTAGTCAGTTTGAATTAGAGACAGTACCCGTGGACGGCGAGATAAAGAAGGAGGAGCCACCGATGGAGAAAGTGTTCGAGCAACAACCGTTGCAACCGCCGCAACTCCAACCGCAGCAGCCGCAACTGCAACAGCAACTGAACCTTCAGCCAGAAAAGGAGACAAAGATTCTCGAACCCGCGGAGCAACCGATCTTAGAAGTGAAGAATAACGTTGAAATCCCCGAAGAAGTGATAGCTCCTAACGAAGCCCGTCCTGGTAGCTGTAAAGACACGATAGACGAGAAAAGGAAAACGTGTTACTCGAGTACCAATGACAGATACACGGCCTACGAGGAGGATCGTGAGACGAATAAAGTCAGCTTGGTGGAACGATCGAAGCTCGACCGCGCGGAAACCGATGAGAGATGGGTCCCACCGAGCGCAAATAACTTCGAGCCTACCGACGTCCAGCATTTGAACGCTCTCATGGAAACACAGAATCATCGTTACAGTAATCATCAGTTCCCCAACGAAGCGATCCAGGATAACGAATCGTTAACGCGTTCCCACTTGAACGCGGCCGCAATCCAAGAGCAATATCTTCTTCAGCAACCGCATACCATACTTCATGGCCAACGCGAGACGCTTGAAAGGACAATACTAGATCAACAGATACTCGAAGAAAATCCTATGGAAATGGTGAACAGACATTTGATAGGATTGCCAGCGTCCGAAGACGATCAGGCGGCAGAGATAACGGACAGAGCGTTGGAAAAGGAGGACGACGTTGTCAGGCAACAGGAATACGATCAGAACTCACCGTACAACGATGTTAATGGCCGACCCGACACCAGATGGGCAGAGAGTCAAGTTCTGCCATCTCGCAGATCTACATCCTCATCAATCACCTCTGCTTCGTCTGCCGAGGATCATTCCATTCCGCCGTACAAAAACGTCCCGGGAATTCCTTTTCCACCGTGCTCGATGGAGCAAAGTTATTACACGGATTCAAACTACGGCTCCGGTCCAGTCTCTCTATTTCCGCCTCAGTCTTGCGCTGCTCCGTTGCCATACCCATCACCTGGTACAGCTCTCTTTCCGCCTGCGTTTGGAGCCGCTTTCCCGGCGGCGCAATCTTTGCTACCGCACGTAAAGCCTCTGGAGGACTCGCTGAACCTACAGGCCTCACCCTGCACCGCAGCATTCACGTCTTCCTCGCACAACATGGCGCTCACGGCCGCCATGGTCTCGCCTACTAAAATAGCCACTCCACCGCCGCCACCTCCACCGCCGCCTCCGCAGGTTCCGCCACCAGCGGAGACTATCGACAGGACACAACAACAAACGCAAGTCACTGACTCGCCCGCTTTGCCCCTCAACTTCTTGAACGCCATAGCGCCTGAAAGCCACGTTGCCGAGTCTATCGTCGAAACCATACCCGAAGCTTTAACCGACGCCAAGATCCAACACCCAGGGAAAAAGTCACCCTCAAAGCCAACGAGAACCTCGGCCAGGGTTACCTCGTTGCAAGGGAAATCCCCGGGCAAGTCGCCCAGGCAAGAAACTCAAAAAGGTGTTCCTGGTGCGAGAGGAAGGGGCAGGGGTGCCAAAAGTTCAGCCCAGCATTCTAGTTATCGTGGTCGCGGTCGCGGACGGGGCAGAGGTCGGGGCAGAAGTCAAAACGCGGGGCTCTCGTTAGTCTCCGGCGCGCCAGTTGGTCAGCACGACGATTCTATCCAGAACAAACTGGTCGGCACGGTCTATGACTTCGACTCGGACGAGGACTCGACCAGCGAGGCAAACATCGCCGATCTGCGTACCATGAGGGAGAGGAAGAAGTCGACGGACGCCGCGACCGCCGGGGTCGAGAGGAGAGACTCGACGGTCGTTATGCCGGAGAGCGTGCAGTCAAGGCTTTCCAGTCCTGGCGGCAGCAGAAAGTACCTGGAGGACAGGAGAATCTCTTGCTCGCCGGGTCACGACGACTCCACGGTCGTGGAGAACGAGTCGAATGCTGGGCAAAGCTTCGATACCGTCCTACCATTGATTCCTGGTCCCGTCGACATGAGGACGTATAATTCCACCCTGGACGCGTCCAGTTCTTCCACGTTGCACGGCCAGACTTACGAGAACCATTTCCTCGGAACGTTCACCAGCGTCTCCACGAGCGACCCGACGCTCCCGGACATCGAGGAGGACCTGGAGAAGGAGCTGAGATCCGCGTTAGGAAAACAAGGACAGGAAGATTGTTCGAAGCCGAGTTTCGATGTCAGTATCGATGCCTCCTCCTCTGGTTTCGCGGACGCGAATAAGGTCTCACTGACGGACTCGCGGAACCAGTTGAAGGTGAAGATCAAGGGTCCGTTCCTCGACGCGAATTACGTCCCCGCGTCGTCGGTGCCGCCGTTGGCTCAACAGGCGCCAGTGATCATTGCTCCGGCCGCGACCAGCGCTTCTGTAGCCTCCGGAACGTCGAATCTCAGGCGGATGCGGAAGAAGGAGTTGCTCAGACAGTATTGCTCGCAAGATATGAACATGGACGAGCCGGGTTGCGGGAATCTGACCACGTCCGCGCCGATCATCATGCCGCCGATCAACCGCACGGTGATAACGATACCAAAGGCAGTTGCATCGATGACTAGCATACCGACCAGGGAAGACTACAAAGCGGTGGTCGACGCCAACATGGAGAAGAAGAGGCGGAAAGAAAGACCAGCTGGGTTCCTGGACGCAAACGAGGAGGAGAGCAACATGGAAAGGAGACGGGGCAACGCGACCAACGGAGCCAGTTCGAGCGGTAATGCTCCTGTGGTGAACGCGGACCGTCGTAGAGGTAGGCAGAGCAGCGGTGGCAGGTCAACGACCACTACCACGTCGACCACCACGACGAACAGCGGCCCGCCGAAGTTGAAGATCAAGATCGGTAACAGCATAATTGGAGGTCAAGAGACCGGCCAGGACGACCGAACCAGGATCAGACCGCCGAAGAAACGGCTGAGCAGTATTCCTAGCAGTACACCGAGCATAGAGGAGCTGCGCAGAGAGAGCATGAAATTCAGGCGGATGATCATGGCCGGTTTCGACAATGATGAGAAGCTCCGGCAAAAGAGCAAGAAGGACAAGAACGGGAAACGTAAGAAACGACAGTCGAGCAGGAAGGAGGCCAGGGTCCGGATCCTGGAAGGCGGCGCCGCGCCGCCGAAGTTGATCATCAGGCTGGGGAAAGGTAACGATTCACCGGACGAACTGCCGATTTTGCTCACGGACGAGGAGGAGGAGGAAGAGGAGGAGGAACGACATCCGACCGATAGCAGGGTAGGTCCGCCACCACCGGAACCGGCGAAGGACGAACCGGTTTACCCGGCAGTGGTCGCGACTATCGAGGAGAAACAGCCTACCGATCCAGATACAGGCGGGAGCGCACCCAGGAACGTTCGCTCGGCGAAGGTCACACCGATCAGGTTAAAATTAACGCGTTGCCAGGAAGGTTACGAGCTGAAGGGATCCCCGGTCCACGGCGAGGAGTCCGGTTTAACGACGGAGAAGCAGAGGAGTCCCGAGCTGACGAACGAGGAAACGAGAAATCTGCCGACGGCAAAGAATCAGGACGGCGATTCCTCCAGAGAAGAGGAGGAAGAGGAAGAGGAGGAGAGCAATAGCAATCCCGTGCAAAGAGACTCCTCCGCGTGTCCTGCCGCGACTAGTATACCGCAGGGATGCCAAGTTAGGTGATAATTAATGATACTCGTGGAGTAAATGGAGCAAGAGGACACGGTGCTCGTTTAATTTCGATTTTGTTAACGTCGAAAAACGGACTCGATATGCAATTACGATCGCGGTTGCTAGCGACACGAACGCGCGCGTCGCCGTGATAAGGTGGACAAAATAAAGCGTTTGATGAGGTACGGTTCTTTTTATAGAGGCAGATGAAGAATATTTTTACTTTTAAGCCGGGGAGTCTATATACAGAGTGTTTTAGAACTGGACCGATTTTACACGAAATTAATTGTCATTTTTTTGATTTCTGGCTTAACGAATTACAGGGTTTCGATCAATGAAATCTGTTCAAACGAGATTGTGCGAAGTATTTTAATTTGTTGTTCAATCAATATTTTATTCGAAACCATCGTCTCTTTGATTTTGTTACCAATTCTGGGACACTCTATAGTTGATGAAGCGTGTTGTTGGTTTAATGGGTGAACATAAAATGTGGTTTTATTTGAGAGATTAAGATCGATCGATTTAATTCTTTGTCACGATGAAGATCATTGACAATTATCATTTTTATGTTTTACAGATTATCCAGTACTTGGACAAGAAATTAGTCGTGTAGAAAGGTCTTAAATAGTTAGCGGTGCGCTGGTATCCGACAACTTCCGGTTTCTTGCCATTATTGTATAGTGATTCACGAAAATATTCGAACGCTCGCAGCCATGCACTGTAACCTGATATGTAAGTTACTTTCAAGGATTTCGAAATATTATGAGTACGATAAGATTTAAGAGATCACAAATATATTAACGGAAGATTTGAAAAGACTTAGATGTAAGATATCAATTTTAAACATAACTTAAATAATGGATAGAAAGGTATTGAAACATTAGGTTCAGTCGTAAATAACTTCCATTCATCTTTTTAAAATTTATCCTACTAAAAACAATGTATAATTACTATTAGTTTATTTACTATATATTATATAAAATATATAAATATTTTTAATTACTAATAATGTACGATTTTTAGTTGTTCAAAGTTTATACAGAATGAAGCGCAGTTTATCCCGTAGAAGTGCATTTGTTCCACTGTAACTGGAAGTTATCTACGATCTAACGTAATTGTTAATATAATGTAACATATAGTAATACTAATTTTTTTGAATCACATTTGGAACAAAATACTTGTACAACAAACTCCGGTTACTTTATTAGAGTTTATAAAAATTGTCAAGCACGAATCTGAATGTTACATTACATCGTGTTTACGATAATATTTCGAAATTTACGTTCGAACATTTTTGCGATTCACTGTACTTGTTCAGGTACCTCGAGTTTCAACAGAAAATACTTTGAAATAAGAACCTCAAGTGATCTATAGATAGACAAACGAGAAAGAGGGAAAGAAAGAAAAAAGGAAATTTTTGTAAATGAAAAACTGTGGATACATCGAGGATTAGAAATGTTGTCAGTGCCCATTAAGCCCATAATACGGTATCTTTTATAATTTTGTACAAAATTTTACAGTGTTGTATAGAAAATAATTATTTATATAACGTTTATGGTGATGTTTTCAAACCTTTTTATTCTATATCATTTTTAATTGTCTTTTTGTCATTTCCACGATATTAAGAATGAACGTCTTTTGCATATACTTCACCTTCTCACGGCGATCGAAAGTGTTCAGTTTGGTGAGAGGAAACAAGGTGATAGGAACTTCTAAGATATACTCGTTTCGGACTCGCTACAAAGGACATTCTCCGACGTTATCGAAGAACCTATGCTCCTCGAGAAATCCGGTTTTATTCTTAACAATACTCGAGAGACGAAACGGGCGTGCCATTTCGCGGCGACGACGACGAAATGTCTGTGTTTTTCCTTTTGCGAAAGAACAGACGAAGAACCGGTCGAGGCCGTTGACGAGGATCTCTCCAGAGGATCCACGAAAAATTCAACAACTTTACGTTCTTTCATTTAGAAAATCTTGTACATAATGCGCGGGAGAAAAGTACTCGGACAATAAGAATGTAGTAAAGAAAATGATTGTATTTGTCATGTCATTCATTACATTCATGTAACATACGTGTATATTAACGTTTGTAGTAATATACACAAGTAAAAATTACATTTGCTACAAACGTTTTTATACAACATACAATTACATATATACATATATATATATATATGTATATATATATATTTGAACATAATTAATGATATGAAAAATTAAATCTTTCTTGTTATGCACTTATTGTGTGATTACTCTTGTAGCTCAACGTATGCCGCTAAATATTAGAATTTAAAGTGCCCCCATAATTTTTAACAGTACAAATAGGGTAACACTTTTCTGTCGAATATCTAAATAATAAGAGACGAAAATATGACTGCTCAAAAGTTGCGTGATTTTTTATATAGATGTTCCAAAACAATAGCAAAATAGTCAACTTCTTTTATACTTATTTTGTGATTTTTCCACTTTTTCTTGAGTGCCTGAATTTCCATTTACAAGAAAGAGTTAAAAAAGCTCATTTAAAGGTAGTGAGATGCTTTTAGGGAGTGCTTCGTATACGGCCTCGGCAGTCCCTTCGCAGTAAAACTAGTTAATTGTACATAGTTGTAATCTACGATTGTATTTAGTTTAAGTCGATGAGACGGAGAGGAATGAATGATTGGGCGAGCGTGTGTGTGTGTGTGTGTGTGTGACCGTGTGAGTGCACGCGAGAGAATTTTGTAATCAGTGCGAAGCTTACGTGATGGCTGTGTTTTACCACGCGGTCCGATCTTCCAGGCAGTCCTGGGCCGTGCAGAAACGTTCGGTAACCTCCTTAATTAAACCGTTGGATATCACTTAAGTGGTTCCCCTCCCTCGACAAGAGGTCGTCGCTCTACATTTTACACTAGATAAAAAAAAAGAAAAATAATAATAATAATAGCATAAAACAAAGCGGTAGAACAAACGTGTGTACATCGGGCGGAGAAATCCGAGAAAAGAATTATCAGATAATTTCATAAGCTTGTCATTGTTTTTAATATTAATTTTAAGTTTACAGAAATCGTCGAATCATTGCAATATTATTTAATCGATGAATACATTAAATATTCCATTGCATAATTGCGTTCCATCTTTTGATCATTGTTTGGATTCTGTTGAAACGTTATTAGTTTGATTATTTGAAGTGATGGGAGGAATGATATTATACGTGGATTTATCTGATAATTTAAAAATGGAGAAATATCCGTCACGAGGACAATCCAGCTGCGCGACAGCCTTTTTCCAATGGAAAACGCGGAAATTCAATGAATCCGTATAGTCTACCTGCAATAGTTCTCCACGATTACGCAGTTGCCCGTAGAGATGCCCCGTAAATATAAATAAAATTACGCACGGCGTAAACCTCGTCAATCAAAGCAAATTCGTAAGAACCGTATAACGCACGCATTCTTCATCGTTTTTACGAGTTCATTTGATATTATATATAGTATCTTAATTGTCAGAACGTCGTTCTGTTTTTTTATATATAATATATATATATATATTATATATATGAAAAAGTATATTTTACACCGAGTACAATGTTAATAATTTATTCTTATTTAGTGTAAATAAGTTCTATAGAGGAAGTATGTTTTTATACGATAGTATATATATGTATATATATATTATACATAGCATTATACATAGTTCGTTCGCTCGCCTCGTGGTTTTTACGTGTTTACTTTGATATATTTATATATACATATGAATATATATATATGTATATATGTATGTGTATGTATATATATATATGTATATGTATGTACATGTATGTAATCGGTAATCTCGTATCGAGACACGTCGAAATACATTCGATACCCTCGAGGACGGCTGCGTAATTACGGAGTCTCGTTTCTATAGACATTTCACTGTTTGACAGGACTATAAGAGGATACATTGTACTT